CTCCTTCTCTGGAGATCTTCCAAACCCGCTTGGACGCAGTCCTGTGCCACGTGCTCTAGGTGACCCTGCGTGTGCAGGGGGGTTGGACTAGATGATCTCTAGAGGTCCCTTCCAACATTAATGATTCTATGATTCTATGAGCACCGTGTCAGACAGACTGAAGACTGATCATTGCACAGTAACCTCTGGGAGCCAATGTCATGGGATGAGAGCATCCTGCACAAAGCCAGTAGCATGACTAAAGGACAAATCCCTGTTGTATGTCAAAAAACATGGCTACTGTGCAGAGATGCCTGAAGTCAGTGCATCTCAGCTGAAGTCTACTTCATAACTAAGCTTTGAAGGATCATTTGGCTGTGACCAGATATGGGGGAGAAGAGAGTAAGGAGCAGGGTGACCACAGAGAACTAGTGGGGAGGTGAGGCAGGAACAGGATCATCCCTAGTGCTAAGGTCAGAAACAGTTAGCGGGAAAAGCAACGCTGTCCATGACAGAAACCCGGTGGAAGGGAGCCCTGAGAAGACAAGGTGCAAGGAGAGGAAGCAGGGCCGCTCCTTCAGCAACGGCCACGCGGAGCGGTGCCGAGCAGCGCGGTGCCCTCTCCTCCCAGCCCACGAGCCCACACTCACCCATGCTGTCTCCGTGGGGATCCTGGGGAGCAGGAATCTGGGCAGGTTTGGCCTGGCAGCAAGGTGGCCAGCCCTGCAGTTATAGGGCTCGGCAGATGAGGTGGGGCCAGCCGCCCCAAACCATAGCACACTTCCTCCAGACGGGACATTTATGGTTTATTTGCCCTCCATCTGCAAGATTCACTGTTCACACACCGGCTGTTGCTCTTCTGTGATAAGAAATCCCAACAGAATGGCAGTAACCAATGTTTGGTGTTGATAAGTGATTCCACTAAACTGAGAAATGTATCCAATCCGCACTTGTGATAAGGATTTTATTTGAGCTTATTATTGCTTACTGGATTTGACACCAAGCTCCACAGTGATCTGGGTCCCGCAGTAGTTTTGCCTATTATGTGTGATCGAGGACCACGACACTGAACACAGTCACTCCCGTAAGGCAGCACATCCCAGTGGGTCCAGCACAGCAGGCCTTGGCACACGTACAGAGGTGCCCCAGCGCATGACAGGTTCTGGAGGCCTCCTGCAGCTGGCGGTCCTGATGCTGGGACCTCGCCAAAGCGAAGGGTCTGCTCAAGGAGGTCGCTCTGACTCTGCAGTTCTAGGGTATCCTGAGGAGCAGTCGTGATCACAGCACTGGTTGCAAGGTGAATTATCAGGGTGGCTGTGTGTGAGATGGAGCAGATGCTTAACAGACTCTGGGTAACGTACAGTCTGAAGCCAGTCTTGCAACTGGTAAATGAAGGAGACTGTAAGACAGGCAGTGAAACAACCATAGTGATGTTTATAGATTGGTTACACTGATTTAGATCTGTGGGGAAGTATTGAGCATTTGAAATGGAAACTGCTGTCCAGTCCGAGTGTCTCTCTGCGTTGGGCATAGGAAAGCCTGGGGCATCCATCAGCATTTCTCTTCTGCAGGAAGGCTGGGGCTGAAACTTGCTACAAATAGCACGAGGTCAGTCCCCCATTGTCTTCACCTCGAGGTGGCACCTCCACCTCTGCTGTCCTCCAAGAGCCCGGCAGGTGGTGGTGAAGGGCCCTGTGCCTGCGCGGGCCACACCGCGGTTGTCACTAACCTTGTCCCCTGCTTGAGCCTGTGTGCTGGCTTACACCGAGGCTGAGTGCCTTTGACTGCAGCATGAGGGGTGTTTTTCATCAAAGGATGCATATTCTCATGCCCTGCACCATCCCCGGGTGAAACTACCAGTCCTAAAATTACAAATGTATTCACAGGAAAAAAAATGTCTTATCAACACGACAATAATATTTCTTCGTTCTTCTTGCTGTTGGGTAACAATGAATGAGCTGATCCATCAATGCTCTGCAACCATTTACTTTCAATGGAGCAGCTTTCTCTGCACAAGTGCTTCAGAAAACACTTGGTAGGCAACTTTGGGGTATTGTTCTGCTTGGGGCATCCAAATTCAAAAAAGATATGTGATACCTTCCTAGTCCTTTCAGTCCTACCGTATGCAGAACCTATATTTGCTCTGGGTTCAAGCCATGCATGGGCAGAGGGCTGGTCCTGACACCCACCCATGCACTAACCATCAGGACCAAAGTTGGGTGCCAAGCCATGATTGAAATCCCAGCCTTGTTACTGCACGTGACCCCAGCAACCACTGGGCACATCCTTCAGTTTGCCCTCAGGCTGGGCCTACTGCCTACTCACATCTTCATTAGACAGCCATAGAATAGGTCCATGTAGCAGGGGCCCCATGGCAAGTCTTCTCACTCAGCAAGGACAGACAAGGTGACACACACACAGGAAGCGGAGCTGAATTTATGTGCTCTCGTGGCCAAGAAGGCCAATGGGATCCTGGGCTGCATTAAGCAGAGCGTCTCCAGCAGGGCGAGGGA